TTACAAATACAGATTGTTCAGAGACTAAACGAGGTTACAAGAACTACTACTCAGCGATTTAATTTGTTATAATAATTCTACAATAGCTAGATTGCAGATTGTAACAATTCTACAGCAGCAAAGCTGCCTGATGCCATTTGGGGCTTGGCATCCTTGTCTCTGCACAGGGGTGAATCTCAAACTGTGTAAGAAATTTAGAAGTATAAGTCATTAGGGTTCCCTTATGCTAATGGGGGTGAATCTCAAACTGTGTAAGAAATTTATAAGTCTAAGTCATTAAGGTTTCCTTATGCTAATAACTTACAGCGTCAATCTTGAATTTAGCTCTTCCAGATGTTCCTATCAAACATCCCTTTCCTCCTCTTGTCTTCATTCACCTCATTTTTTTGTGGTATGTCAGAATAAAATAGGTGAAGAGTTTGGAATTTTAAGTTTTTTTAAAAAGCCTTGGCCAAAATATATGTGTATGTGTACACAGACACACACGTAATTCCAACACACATTATATTTTAAGCAGCAAATGCTTCATAGTTGACTGCAATTTTATATAAAAAATAGACATGTAAAGACAGTCCAAACTTTATTAGGACAACCTTTTGCAATACTCAAGTGATGGAGAGAGGCCTTAAGGTTAGGCCTAAACCAAAAAACCCTAAAGCACTGCTAAAGCAGACAATTGTAGATAATAAAAATCCATTGCCATTCATTAACAGCCCTATTTAAAGTTTTAATAATAGTTTTCCATCGATTTTAGTCACTATTCTTACCTATGGTATTGTGCCTTCCTGAGTTACAGGTTTGTACTAAATTCCATTTCAAGCTAAGCACTAACTCATACTCAAATTAGCATGAATGTCTTATGCAACTGAGATAATTGTCACAAAGACACAGCTTGTTTGGATCCTGTAGGAAATCCAGGCTAGAGAAGCAGTACTACCCTCCCTGGAGACCAGCCTAGTGCTGCCAACACCCATGGAGGCACACTAACACCACTGATTTGCAGCGTGGGCAGAGATGCACAGTCCTGCACCGTAAAAGTAATAGTCATTTATTAAAAGTGCTCTTTCTGTCTCATTTCAGAACCGGAGTACAAAGAAATCTCTGATAGAGGTTGGCAAAACCTGTAAGTGCTTTAGGCAGAAACCTTATGAAGTGGGAAACAGAAGCGTTCTAACCCAAACTTGCTGAAACCAAACTCACTTAACATTAAATGTCCACTGTGTGATGCTGAAAACCTGTAAATGCTTTAGGCATGAACCTGATGAAGGGGGAAAATAAAACCGCTCTAACCAAAACTTGCTGAAATCAAACTTTTGAACTTACTTAACAGTGAAGGTGTACTATGTAATGCTCAAAATGGGCAAGGAAAAGCTGAGCAGACCCACCTGCCTTTAAATGGTGTTTGAGCTTTCTCCTTTGTTTCCCTGAAATGCCTGAGTAGCCCGATTCCCCAGCCGGCTGATGGCGGGACAGGCAGCCCAATTGTCAGTGAAGGGACAAGGTCACCTCTTGCTCATAGCTTTTTTCCTGGCTCTTGCTTTCTAAAGAATTACCTACCTGTTGTAGAAAGGTGGTTGGAATTGTATCCCGTCACTACACAACTAAAGGGGAAAAAGTGGTGAGGAACTAGTGGGTATAAAGCAGTAGAAGAAGCTGGGCCCTGAACAGGCAGGGTTTAGGTCTGATTTTAGGCCTGATACGTTCTCCTCCCTTCTGAAAATCAACCTTCACGTTCCCATGTGGACTGACAACATAATCTGGGCCATTATTCTTCTATCTCTCTCAGCTATCCAGTCAGTATTTCATAGCATGGTGCCCTGGAAGGCTCATCCAAAACTCAAGAGTATGCAATGTGTCTGCGACCTTATTCTGAGGGCCTGCTTGCTGATATGAAGGAAAAGCCACTTTCAGTAGTCTCATCAATGTATTTTGTACAGTTTTAATTCTCTTGGTTTTGTTCTGGCTTTTGTTTTGTTTTGTAACTTTGTTTTTTTAATGCTCTTGGTTCTTCACTGTGAGGGTGGTGGAGCACTGGAACAGGTTGCCCAGGGAGGTGGTTGAGGCCCCATCCCTGGAGATATTCAAGGAGAGGCTCGATGAGGCCCTGGGCCACCTGGTCTAGTTGGGGGTGTCCCTGCTGACTGCGGGGGGGTCGGACTAGAGATGGCCTTGGGAGGTCCCGTCCGGCCTGGGCAATTCTATGATTCTATGATTCTATGTTTTGGTGAAAATTTGACACGCAGCTCTGCTACTTTTAGATGTCTGAGACTCTCCTTTAGAAACCATAGATTTTTGTGCTTCTCGTGCTGGTCTCCTCTCTAATGTGTAATAAAGCTTTTCACAATGGTGAAAGCCCTTGTGCACCCCATCAGTTTCTCACAATTCTATTAAGGTTTTATCCTGAAGTTAACACAGTGTGCTCCACAAGCCAGGGGAGACTGACCTATTGATTCCGTGGAGATTTAACCTCTTCACTTGGGCAAAAGAGCTAAATACTCAACGCTCCTGTTTTGTAAAATGAGTAGGATAAAAAGCAAAGCCTCTGTACCTTTCTGAAAAGCGCAGCACATGCCGGGGTTGCAGTCCTGCTGGTTCTCACAAATGGTGCCATTCTCTCCTCTCGCAGTGGATTTCCTGCACCGGCCCCAGACGCAGAGCTCGTCCCCGCAGCACTCGACGTCCCGCGAGCAGGGCTGGCACAGGGGAACAGCAGGGGACAAAGCTGTGGCTCCAGCACTGACTGTACGGACCAACAGATGGCTACACACAGAATTAGACCCTGCTCCTGAAGATAACTGCAAATATGTGCTTTAAATACAGGCAAGTCATATTCCCGGTGCTCAAACAGAACTGCTTGGGTTCGCAATTTCAAGTATATGTAAAACTATTTGCCAGGCAGAGTAACAACACTTCATACTTTTATACTTTCAATCTTACAAAACCTGAATTCCTGTTCTAGCATTTATCTCAAAACTGATCAGCAGCCAGACATCCTAAGGTATGGTATGGATTTCAGGGCAGCCTTTTCACTGAATTACACTGAATTTTAGAGTTGGAAGGGACCATAGAGATCATCTAGTCCAACTCCCCTGCTGAAGCAGGATTGCCTAGAGCTAGAGCATGTTACTCAGGACTGCATCCAGGCAGGTCTTGAAAATCTCCAAGGAAGGGGACTCCACACCCTCCCTGGGCAGCCTGTTCCAGGGCTCTGTCACCCTCACTGTGAAGAAGTTTCTCCTCATATTTGAGTGGAACCTCTTATGTTCCAACTTGTGCCCGTTGCCCCTCGTCCTCTCACTGGGAACCACTGAAAAGAGTCTGGCTCCCTTCTCCTTCAACCCTCCCTTGAGATACTTGTAGGCATTTTGCAGTCAAGGAAAAAAAAATAATTAATAAATGAAACATTATCAATGGAAAACGTTACAGATTCTTTTTCCATTGTTAAACGAGGTCAGGAGTTTACAATTTGTTCAGAAGGATTGCTTTCAAAAAGCAAAGCAAATAAATCTTACTAAAATCCCATTTTTAGTTGTAAGAAGAATCAGATCTCATTTGTAACCTAGAATCTTTGGAAAAGAAAAAAAATCTGTCTGAAGAAAAAATCTCTTCACAAATCAGAAATGCAAATCTCTTGCTAAAAGTAGCTTTGTACGACAATTGTCCCAGCGTTTCAGCCACGCACACCTAATAAATCAACCTAATAAACCAGCATGTCACTTTGTTTCTTTTTTTAGGTAGTTTGATTAACATCTTAAAGATTCCTAGCAGGTCAGCATTTTAACAGCTTTTTTCTGTCTGTGTAAAGCCCTGTCTGGGCAGCCATACAAAATCAGAATTTCTTTTCCAGTGGATCCCACAGAATTTCTGTGGATTAACTCGGGGCAAGAAGTAGGACTACACTAGCACTATTAAGACCTGCAAATTAAAAAGAAAAATGGTTTGTAACTAGGGGTGTTCTAGTTCAGGGAACTGATCCTACCACCTTCAATCTGAGCTCACTTTGCAACAGGAGTGTAGCTAGAATGCAATTTTTACTTTCTTTATCCTACAAATGTTCTACTGAGGACTGCAAAGAAAAGGGTGGGATGGGTAGGTGTTAGGTCATCCCAATCTTGATTTTTACTTATTCTATGTTAACATGAAAAAGTATCGGTTTAAAATACGAAGAATTCTTTTCCAGTGGATCCCACAGAATTTCTGTGGATTAACTCGGGGCAAGAAGTAGGACTACACTAGCACTATTAAGACCTGTGAATTAAAAAGAAAGGGGTGTTGTAGTTCAGGGAAGTGATCCTACCATCATGAAAAAGTATCAGTTTAAAATACGAAGAAGAAGCTTTCTTAATGACATGAGCATATATCCAGGACTTGTGTTTAAGCAAGCATTCAGTCCACTGAAGTCAATAGGGTTCCCTGAAGTTATCAAGATAAGTATTTAAATCATTTCAGGAACAGCCTGGGGCTTTATAACATAATAATCCTATCGATTACATGACTTTACATCAAGGTTTGCTTGCTTGTAGACTTAACTATCTGCAAATGCTTTGAGGAATGAATTCGTTTCACAGGAGGCCATCAGCAGGACTTAGATGAAAAGGGACAGTCAGATAACAGACTGCTCTTAAACTGGATTTTCACCACAGAAAAAAGCCTGAACTTATATATATGTAACTTATATATTGAGTTTCTACAAAACACATAAAATCCCACCTTATTTAGGACTTACTGTATGCTGGGTTTTACAGAGCTGGCACTTGTACTCGAAGGCGGAGAACTGGCAGTATTTCCCTGTTTCACAGTCTTCGTCAATGATACATTCCTGAAGGAAAGGACGAAAGTGTAATTTGCCACTGTGTGACAGAAATCTTCTGGAAACACCAGAAGGTGCTGATGGGTTATACTTCTTATTTGGGAACCAAGAAAAAAGCTTGCTTTGGTTCTTCAAACAACCACAGTGCTGTCTCCCTGGCCTCAAGGTGTTAGGTG